AGTACGTCCCCGTATTTCGCCGCTATGGAAGTCATTGAAGCAGGAACGAAAAATACGAATCCACTTGTGACCCATCTCTTTCGACACGCACAGCGCCGTGCTTAATCAACAATTCCGCTACCGCGTTTACATCATTCCCCTTAGATACCCCACCTAAGCGATGGCGGATGGAAAATAGGTCCTGTCGATTCAGTCGTTTGTTATATTTTTCCAGGACATAGTCTCGCAATTCTCCGGTTTTACGGAAGGACTGCATTAAATCAAACACTTGCCGCTCCGCCTCGGGAGTCAGACGCCGGTTACCCACGTACAAACTTGGATTCCCCAAGTGAAAATTATGATTATGCACCAGACATTGCGAACCTATCTCATAGTAAATGCCCTTAGCACTGATGGATATGTTTGCATTACAACCGAGGCTGACATACCTATGAAACATGAATTACGCATAAAAATCTTTCGCACTTACCGACTGCCACCGTCTCCTTTCCGGGTGCAATGGACACAACGATATTGTACCCATATGTACCGCATCCCATCCGGTAGCTCTTGACCGGACCTCTTCTTATACGACGCAGCGGTCAAAACGTTATATTTGTAAAAACTGGTCGCCGTCTGAAGTTGAAAACGCTTCAAATCTTCCTCGAATTCACCAAATGCCTTATAATATTGGCGAAAAGCAGCGCGGAAAGCAACAGTATCATCCACAGTCATTGCAGCGAAACCGAAACAACACCTGCCTGAGCGCACTCCACCCTCTCGGGACCGTTGCCTCATCATTATGAACGCAACCGAATCGAACAAAGCCACCCCAGCGGAAAGAATTCTGGATGACCAAATTCTTCTCGAGCGTTTGAGCTCTTTGTTATTTGATGAAGAGGAACAGGGGATTAACATCGTTTCTGCATTCCGGCTCGGCAGGAAGCAAGAGGACCCAACCAAATTTCGTCCCCTCAAAGTCGTGTGTCAGACGGAAGAGGAATGCCGACGTATTCTGCGACGGACCTCGCGTCTCAAAGGTGAGCCATATTACGTACTACGTGATCTTTCTCCAGAGGATCGGATAAAAATGAAAAAAGCTGTTGAGGAGCTACGAACACGCCGAAGAATTGGTGAAACTGACCTTCATATTGTGGATTTTTGCGTGGTTCGGAAGACCCTGAGAACCCGTTGGAGACCCATTCTTCTCATCCCGGGACAATAATACACACAAGTGGACTATTTGTATTAACCGCCAATGTGCGCAGTCTGAGGAATAAATTGGATGAGATTCAGTTGATTGCCTCAGAGACCTGCCCGGACTTAATGGCCTTCACTAAAACCTGGCTATTCACCGACATCACGGATTCAGAGGTGTCTATCCCTGGTTATCACCTCTCCCGATCCGATCGACAAGGAGGGAGGCCCGGCGGTGGTGTAATAGTCTATTGGAAGACTGATATTAAAGTGCACGTAGTTGAAGCGATCAGTGACAAAGACGATGAGTTTGATGCACTCTGGTGTCGTGTTCATGATGGTCGGAGTTCTCTCTCATTTGGTGTTGTCTACAGAGCGCCTGCAGGATCCGGAGCCCGGTTGATGGACTCGATTAGGAAGCATGGTGCACGAAAGGATTGTCTTATCGTTGGGGATTTCAGCGCTCCTTCTGTTGACTGGAACCTGTTTCTTTGTGACCGACCTACAGAATCCTTCGAAGCTAACTTACTGGAGACCATTCTTCATTGCAATTTGCTCCAACACGTCACTACACCAACTCGTATTCCTCCAGATCAGACGCCACATATCTTGGATCTCGTACTCTCCCCAACACAATCAGACATCACGAACCTTTCAGTTCTACAGCCCATTGGCAGCAGTGATCACTGTACTGTCTCATTCCAGTGGTCACGTCGCCTCGCTGTTCACAGTCAACGTGCCGACCGTCGGAATTTCTGGCGTGCCGACACAACTCGTTTGAAAACGGCGGCAAGCATTGTCGATTGGAGTATCCCTGAACACCTCAATGTTGACGAAGCGTGGCATCACTTGTACTCCAATCTGACGTTACTCATTGAACAGGTCATCCCCTTCTCCAAAAGAAGACCCTTCTCCAAAGGCCCTCCATGGATCGACCGCAAATTGAGATCAATGATGAAAAAAGGCGAAAACTGTGGGATCGTTTCAGAATTACGCGAGTTGAGATTGACTACTCTCACTACAAAACGGTCAGGAATGCTTGTAACATAAAAAAACGAGAGAAACGCCAAAAGTACGAACTGTCACTAGCTGCACTTTCTAGTACAAACTCCAAGGCGCTCTTCTCATACCTCAAACGAAGCACTAAAGCTGGAAGTGGTGTCCCCGCCTTGTCTCCCTGTGAGCATTTGGACCTAGTCTACGAAGACGGTGAGAAAGCTAGCCTTTTGGCCCAGTAATATTCCTCAGCCTACTCTACCGAAACCCCACTCCCAGATAGCGTTGCACCCACTCCTCCTTTCCTGCTGGAGCACGTGAATGTTTCCACTGACGATGTAATGAAACTTCTACTTGACCTAGACCCGTATTCCTCCCCGGGTCCCGATGATTTACACCCATTGTTCCTTAAGACCGTGGCCGGACACATTGCCGCTCATGTATGTCAAATTTTCCGTCGTTCCCTTGACGTCGGGCGGCTTCCTACTGCTTGGAAGATGGGAACGGTTAAACCCATTTACAAAGGAAGGGACCGACAGAATCCAGCCGGCTATCGTCCCATATGTTTGACTTCGATTTTGTGCAAAGTTATGGAACGGATTCTGAAACGAGCCCTTCGCCTACATCTCGATGAGTTGGAGTTCCTATCTCATGCCCAACATGGCTTCCGAAGGGCGCGTTCATGTGCTACAAATTTGCTGGTGGCTAGGGAAAAATGGGCAAGATCCTTAGATGCCGGTAAGCGTCTGGATGCTGTGTTTGTCGATTTCAGTAAGGCTTTTGACAAGGTCCCACATGAGCGGCTCCTCTTCAAACTCCGGGGAATCGGCGTCACTGGCAATTTTCTTTCATGGGTCTCCGATTTCCTGCAAGGTCGCTTCATGCAGGTCAAAGTTAACGAAGCGCTTTCTGATCAAATTCTCATGACTAGTGGGGTCCCCCAGGGTTCTGTACTCGGCCCCGAACTCTTCAATATCTTCATCAACGACCTGCCATCCGAACTGCAGACCGACTGCTTAATCTACGCGGATGATCTGAAGCTGTGGATTAAGGTTTCCAGTCTGGAAGACGCAGACATACTTCAAGCGACACTCGATCAGCTCCACGATTGGTCACTAAAGTGGCAGTTGCCCATTAACCATGACAAATGCGCTATCCTTCCAATCGGTGCTCCTGAGCCTTTTGGGGCTTACCATATCGGGGGTTTCCTGCTCAGAAATGTCAACCAAGAGAGGGACCTTGGGGTGATTGTGTCTCCTGATCTCAAATCAATGGAGGACACACGGAGGAGGGTCGCATCCGCATACAGAATACTTCACGCTATACGGAGAGCCTTTTCACGCCTGACCCCAGCACTCTTCAGATTACTGTTTGCTTCTCATGTACGCCCAGTTCTCGAGTACGGATTGCCTGCTGCGTACCCGCTCACTAAGTCCGAACGTGACAGGATCGAGAAGGTTCAACGGCGTGGATCCAAATCCGTTCCAGAGCTTCGGGACTTATCCTACCTCCTTCGGCTACAACGGTTGAACCTGTTCTCTTTGGATTATCGTCGTCGCCGCGGAGATATGATATTCACCCGGCGTATTCTACGAGGTGAGCTGGGGAGTGAGCTGCAATCGTTCTTTTGTCTAAACACAAGTTGTGCATCTCGAGGCCACCGGTGGAAACTTTTCAAACCGCGGCGACTCCGTGTACGGTCCGATCTGGCCCTATCCACCCGGGTAGTGAATGCCTGGAACAGCTTGCCAGAAGCTGTCGTCGATGCGGAGACTGAGGAATGTTTCAAACGACGGTTGGATACCCACTCTCTGAGTGCGCAGGGATTCTGCTGCCCACAATACAACCATAGCGATCTTCTGCTGAACCTTGTTCCGCAATTATCCCAGCAACCCTCGCAATGTCCGGGAAGTGACGGAGCTGACAAAGGAACTTCCTTCTGCTCTCTACTAACCAATGAACCTGCGCACTAAAACAAAAGCCATCATATACATTGTAAAATAATGCACCACCATTTTCAGTTCCCCTAAATCAATATACCTTTATTACACCCTTATCAGGCCTTAACAACGTACTTCATATCATTCATCCCCATCAGCCAGCAAACAGTACCGCCCCCAAAATATTATCAGCTGTTTCCGATTAATCCGACGCTCTCTGATGAACACCAGCCCGTATTCAAAATCGCGCCATTGGCGAACTCGACGGTGCCATCTTTTTCGGGTTCAGCTTCTGGCATTTTTCGGTATTTTGTGTTTTGTAATCCGTTTTGCACCTTCTTTTAACCCGTAACTGTTTCTGTTGAAAGCCTTGCTGGTAACAGCTTGTCCGTTTTACGTTTTGATACTTGTTTCACACTCTTTGAAAACGTTATGTCGGATTCACTGAATACCGGCGCTAATGTCTTCGGCTGCGTTGATCAGTGAATCTAATGCTGTAGGCGACAGCGGGAGCTGCCTAAACATCTTGACGGACTAGTCTGGTGGCATGCAGTGCTATGTATGCAACTGCTGGTGCCATGAGACCTGTACCGATTTCAGCCCTGATCAGTACACAGTGCTTTCGACTAGCGGTGGCATGCTGTGCAATTGTCTTCTATGCCGTCGTCTTCGATCTACGTGTCTTGAAGTCAATAAGGAGACATCGAGCAACGTCGGGCTGGGTAGCCAGCAGTTGTGGTCTTTCAAGTTCAAGCGGGACTGGAACGATAGGATAGATCCTGTGAGTGTTCCTTCTTCGGCGGGTCGTTGAACCAGGAGTTGGCGAACTTTGAAATACTGATGGACCTAAAACAAAGACGGCATCACACCCTGTCCAACCAATTAATGCCCACGTATCCTGCCCTAGCAGTCCCTGCTGGGTCGGTTACGTGAAGTAAGAAAGAGAAAAAAGTAAACGCAGGAGGCAAAAGAGAAAGTGGTAAGAGCTAAGCAAATGGAATACCAAGATATTTGAGTCAATAAAAAAAGAACTGAAAAATGAAGGTGAGTCAGCTAGGAAAAAGGAAAGTTTGCTGTTGCCACCCAAGAGCATCGAGCTGGCGCGCAAAACCCTTAACCGTAGGTTCCCTAACCACGTGATCTGGAAGAGAATTCCAGCGATCTATAACTCGGCGCGATAGACGAGTTTCCGTCCTAATCCTATCAGACCGTGGTTTATGCAGTTTCAGTGGGTGACCGCGGAGACTAGGTAACGTAGCGGGACTAAAAAGCCCTGACAAGTCCGGGCCAATCTTACCCGTCAAAATACGATAAGTGAGAATCAGGTCCCCTCTTATCCTTCGGTAGTGCATGGAGTACATCCCCAAACTGAGCAAGCGTTCAGGATACGTCTGTCCCCGTAGACCCTGCACTAACCGAGTGCCCACTCGTAACACCCTCTCCAAGTCCATTTTGTCTCGGTTAAGACATGGTGGACAAGCCTGAATACAATATTCCAGGTGGGGTCGGACGAATGCCGAAAATAGCTTCACAAACAACTTGGCCGTTAAGATTCCGAAAGAGCGGCGGATAAACCACATCATACGAAACCCTCGACAAGCAGCCTTCTTCCAGTTGTCTCCAGAATGAAGTGCTGATGCGTGTACGACTCCTAAATCAACCTGCTGAGTGACAACAGGGAGTTCACCACCGCCGAGAACATATCGGGTGGGAGGATTAGCAGCTCCGATTCGGAGAACAGAGCACTTGGCCCTATTTATGGGCATCAACCATAAGATAGACCATTCCCAGAGTCTATCCAAGGCACGCTGAATTGCCTCAGGACCTCCCGGGATATCCACAATATTCCAGAGCTTAAGGTCGTCAGCAAACATTAATGATGACACCCCTAGCTCTCCCGGCAAGTCATTTACATAGATCGCGAACAACAATGGCCCCAATACCGAGCCCTGCGGAACGCCACTAAGGACAGCTTGCCTGAGCGAAAGGCTACGCCCCACCCGTACGCACTGTTCCCTCCCCTCAAGGAAGGCAGACACCCATTGAAGGGCGCGACCAGATATCCCGTAAGATCTCAACTTTAGTGAGAGCCGAAGATGTGGAACAGTGTCAAAAGCTTTCGAAAAAATCTACGAATAGCACGTCTACAGCGTGGCCACTGTCTACCGCTTCGGCCCAGCTTTCACGAGCTACAAGTAAATTAGTCTGACATGAAAATCCTTTGCGGAATCCATGTTGTGCAACACTGAGAAGGTTGAATCGATTCAGGTGGTTCTCCACTGAATCCCTTATCAGCTTCTCGAACAACTTGACTACTACGCTTGTCAAACTGACAGGCCGGTAGTTCGCGGGTAGAGCGCTGTCACCGCCCTTAAAAATCGGAGAGATGATTGCCTCCTTCCATTCCGAGGGTAGGCTGCAGCTGTCCAGCGATATTGAAAATACGCACGTGAGCGGACCACTCAGCTCAGTGGCCAGTTCATGCAACAGCTTCGGATGAATTGAATCAGGACCGGAAGCTTTAGAGGGATTAATGCCTTGCAGTAGCTCGAAGACCTGAGTCTCCGTTATGCTAAATTCAGCTAAGCAAGAATCCTCTGGAACTCTTGAAACCAATTCAACCTGCGGTAAAGAGGTCTCCCGAGCAAAGACCGCAGTATACTGATCACTCAGTATACAAGCCTTGTCATAGTCAGTTTGCGCAGGGGTCCCGTCTGCTCGCAATAAAGCTGGTATAGACAATTTTGCCCCGCTGCGTCTTTTAACGTAAGCAAAAAACTTCTTGGGATTAGCTGCGGCCGAGTCCGCTAAACCCTGCTCGTATTGGAGACGAGCAGTTCTGAGATGTTGCTTACATTTATTTCTATTCTCTCGATAACTATCATAGGTACTGGCTGATGGAGCTGCTTGGTAGGTTCGCCAGCATCTAGACCGTTTCTTGAGTAGGTACTTGCCTGTGGTATCTATCCATGGAGGCTGTGCCCTTAACCCTCTTTTCCTAATGAGTGGAATATAGGGTGCGGAAACCTCCGTAAGGTATGCCTTAAATTTATCCCAGGCTAACTGGACAGAGTCAGCCATCGAAATCTCACAGTTCAGAACTGAAGCCTTAGTTCGCATTGCACTAAAGTCCGCCCGCCAAATATTCGGAAGTAATTCAACAGCGGTCTCTTGGTGCCTTGAAAGAGCACATCGAAAGGATATGCATGCGTGATCGCTGGACCCTAGAGGTGCACCGCATGAAACGTCAGTCACGAAGTCCAGGGACTTAGCGAAAACCAAATCCAAAGTAGATGGCATTTGGTTGTCCATATACCTAGTGGGAAAGTCAACGAACTGGTGCAAAGGCACTTGGAGAGTCAGTTCAAGGAAGTCTGCACCGAATGTTCCTAATGCCGAATTGCAAGAAAGATCGGCCCAACAGACTTCCGGGAGGTTGAAATCCCCTAGAACTAAACACTTATTCGCAGACTGAGTGCGAATAAAGTCAAGTATCCCCCTGGAGGAACTTCCAGGACTTCTGTATACCACTATAACTGTAAACTGGGTAGAGGAAGTGCACAAAACAGCCGATAGGGCTTCAACAGTCTGATCCGACGACTGGAATGTGCAAGTCCTCAACACATCTAAGTTACAGCTCACATACAGTACAACGCCTCCGCCTTGGCGACCAACGGAGCGATCAGTTCTAAGCAGCGCGTAGCCAGGTAAATATACCTCACCGTCCGTGATATCCGGAGACAACCACGTCTCAGTGAAAGCAAGTATGTCGGGACGAGATTTGTCTACAAGTAGACC